TCATTCTTCTCAGCTCTTCAGAGCCTGTCTAGTCAGGGTCCAAGCCTGATTTCTTATTTTACGTTCCACACCTCCAAAGTTTAAAATAAAAACTAAGCAAACAGTGAAGCCACTTTCACCTTCCCTATATGTCAGATGCAGCAGGCTGCTCGTTCGACATGAAGGATCAAGACCGGTGAACTACAATTAGCCTGTGATAGTTGTCTGGGGTCTTTCTGGCAAAACTCAAAGTTTCAGTGGAAACAGAGAAGGCACTTAGACCAGCACAGAACAAAATCTCAAGAGAGATCAGAGACTCATCCACATCCTTACAATTCCAAAGGATATATATACTCAGTATGATCAGACCAGAACATCTGAAACCTAGAACATGTAGTACATGTACCCCTAGCAGTAAAAGAAACAGGCATGAAGCAGTAGTAGGCACTAGGTGGGGAAGGAGGATATAAAACACCCACTACCCAGCCGAGGCTAAGGAAGGCCAGTGATTAAAAAGAAGGTCCTGGTTTGGGAGACTGCAAAAGCAGTATAAGATTGTCAGGGGATGCGGCACAGGGGTCTTAATTTGTGAGCTGGGGTGTGCAAGCGACTGGAGTGTACAATCATTTTTCTGTGTAGAATTTTTGGGATACAAATAAATACATATTTGCTATTAGAACAGGCACAGGAAGCTAACGTTTTAAGTGGTACTGGATTTCCTGCACTCATATTGTTCAGTTGATTTGTACGTGAGCAGTAAATATATGCAATATGACCAAGCAGCACCTACTATGTGAATGCTTTAGCTGTGCTGTGAGTGGGCATGAAGTCCGATTCCTTCAAAAAGCTGCAGGCTTAACCACACATCAGATATTTCCAGAATTTCCAGATATGAGGCATATTGTTTGGGGTTCCTGAAAGCCTGAGATGCCAAATGTCTAGGCGGCATCTTCTAGTTTCCCACCCCGTTCGATACTTCCAGGCAAGGAAAAATAAAAATGAAAATACAACACAAAGCGGAGCCTGTTTGGGAACCTGGACATATGGCAAGTATGTGCACACAGACCATTAAGCCCTGAGCAGCTGCCGCTGTTACTACCACTGAGAATGACACCAGAGCAAATTAAACTTAGAAACCCTTAGATGAGAAAATTGAAAAAGTCTGGTTTTATACAATTTAACCCAGATTAGACACACTGCCAACAAAATATCATTTCTCAATGAACCTGAGCACCTTGGCTGAAATTATGAGCTAAGAAGTATTTTGGGCATGTCAAGCAATGAGAAGAGGAGAATCCCTTGTTTCTGACTGCAGTAGCCCTCCCAGGCTGTCTGCTATAATTTGGACTGCCATTCTACCCTCTGATGATGACAGGGAAGCTTGCTTGCCTGCCCCCCCCCAACCAAGTTAGATAAATCTGTCAGAAGATCCAAGGAAAAAACATGCTGAGTACTTCAGAAGAGCTAGGCTGGTCTGGTCTTTAGGTTTGAGAAAGATGTTATGAAAGAACAAGAAGCTAATGAAACAGATGTCTGAGAAAACACTGACCATTTCACTGCTGAATTCTTGCCAACAGACGGCCCATATGAGTTCTAAAAGATGAACCTGAGCAAGTTGCACCAAGGGAGGTTTAGACTGGACATTAGGAAAAAATTCTTTACTGAAAGAGTGGTCAGGCCTTGGAACAGGCTGCCCAGGGAAGTGGTAGAGTCACCATCCCTGGAAGTATTTAAAAGACGTGTAGATGAGGCGCTTAGGGACATGGGTTAGTGGGCATGGTGGTGTTGGGTTGACGGTTGGACTTGATGATCTTAGAGGTCTTTTCCAACCTTAATGATTCTATGATTCTAAGGATGGCTACTGTTGAATCCAAGGTGCCCACTGAAAACACAGAAATCTGTACCAGTTAGAAAGAAATCTTTTCACTAGCTTTGGTCCAGGTCTTGGAGATCTGCAGAGCCCAAGTTATTCTTTGAGAAGAAATCCACAGTCTTTTTCAAAAAACAAGTGACACAGTAGCTGCAGATTCCAGTGCCAGAAGCTTCTAGGAATGTCCACCATCCCCACCACTAGGGATTATGCAACTATTTGCCAACAGGTTCTCAAAAGTTAGTTTAGGTTCTGAATCAACGAGCTTCATTCTCAAACACCTGATTTTTTACCTTTATTATGCAACTGAGAACACTTTCAAGAGAATGCTTTTTCAAGAGCAGTTCTAGTAAGGTCTTAGCTTCAGTGACTGGGAATTAGTTTCACTGGATAATGAGGAATCACTTTCATATTTGTTGTCCTTAGATTACACTACTAAAATTGTGATAAAAATTATATATGGGAATCTTAAATACTTCTACTACAAAACATGTAACCACATTTAGTGCCTTTACAGCAGAATGTGAAAGGGTGACAATCCTGCCTGATGGATAGAGTGAGAAGCAGAGATAGAACTGAAATAGGGCACTGGGACAGGACTAGGGTTAAAGAAGGAGAAAGCAGATTTGGCATAGCCTCAATGAGCTACAGAGGGCAACAACGACAGGGCTGCAGCAAAGGTGGCAGAGGCTGGCAGCCATGCTACGGTAGTCAGAAGTAAGCCCATGTATAACTTGGAACATCTCACTTCTTGTGTAGCCCTGCAGGCTGCTTTGTCTGCAAACTCAAGATCTCCTTTGCCTTTTGGCAAGCAGACTACTGATTCGGCACCTCTTCTCATAGAGCCAAAAGAATTCGACAAAAGAAGGGAGAACTTCTTTTGAGAAATATTTAGATAAGTCAGTATGGGAGAGTGGGAGTTAAAGAGGAGGAAGATTTGTCAGTAAGAATAGCCTGAATCCTATAGATTGCAAGCATCAAAACAAAAACAAACTTCAGCAGCAGTAAAATGGCTTAGATTTACCACAGAGCCATACAAAAACTGTAAGGACTGAGTTTCAGAGGCAGATGTTTGAACTGGAGCCGAGTGCAAGCCAGATAAAAGACCCATTTACAAAACATTTCCATCCTTGCTGAATTCTACAACTGATAGACCAGAACCTTAATGGAACAAAACAGGAAGCTTTTTTTCGAACAGTCATCCAGCACTGAGCACAGGCTGACACCCATCAGATGACCCTCTATGAACTGCTTGCTCCAATGTAACAGATCAAGTAGCAAAAAAGGCATTGACAATACAAGATAGCCATCTCCATATATCATGACCTTGATATTCCTTTTGGAATTCTCTCATTAAATAAAAGTTCACAGTTCAAGTAATCCAGCACTGCCTCAAGTATCCCTTTTTCTTCATTTCCAGATTTATATAAAACTTTTAACTCCTCGTATTCTGGCCATTCGATACAAGCATCCATGAAGATAAAGTAATTCAATAAAGGGTCTCAAGACATCTTTCTGTCTCTTGCTCTGAGGATAAAAACAGAGCAACTGAAGTACTGAAAGACCAAATGGTTCATAAAAGGTTTGAAGATGGAATCTTATACCAGCTGTGGCCAGACAATTCTGAAGTACTTTTGGATTGCTGCACAAAACAAAACAGAATTTCTAAAGGCATTAAACTATGCATACAATGCTAGATGAGGCAGAGCCTTGAAAGTTGTTCAGAGTGGATTTCTGGGCATTAAATGGTGGGTTCTCAGATCTACAGGTAACATATAACTGCAATGGTTTCAGAGCAACATGGTAATTACAGTGACTTCTGCAGAGTTCTGTAACAGAAGATTTTGACCATGAGTAATCCCTTTCCAGCAATGTCTGTGAGTCCATGCAGAGGTGCAAATAGAGTTGAGAAAGGAATGGAAGCTCTAGGACAGCCTGCACTCCGCTGCTCTCTCAAGCTATGTTAAGAGAGGAAGGCAGTTTACACCTGTTGGATAGGTTCTTTATTTGGATTAGGTAATAGCTCACCCGGCTGGGCTCCAAGAGCAGAATCACCACCACCTCCTCTCTCAATAACTCTAAACCCCAGAGGCAAACATTGTGCTGGAACAGAAACAGGCCAGGAATTCATTTCTCACATTCCTCTTCTTTAGGCAGGATGAAAAGCAGTGACTGATGGAATAAGAACAATTTTACTTCAGCTTTCCAAATCCCATTCCAATCCTCCTACTGAAGGGCCCATTTGGGAAAGGATGACCACTCAGGTCACATGCCTTCTGCACTGTGTCTCTGCCTCTCTCACCTCCCTCCATTTTCCAGTAGCATTCGGGCACCAAAGAATCAGTATTTTCATGTATACAGTGCTTTCCGGTCCTAAACTCATGTGTTGGAGAAGCTCTGCCTCATTATTCTGCTTTAAAAAGACAAAAATGAAGGCTTAAGCAAAGGAATAAATAATATTTACTGAAGTGGCAAAGGAAAAACTCAGATCTCCAGCAGTTCTGGGCCTGTATTCAGCCTAGTCTACTGCAGCAAGCTTGCCTTGCTCCTAGCTTCCAAGATCCAGAATCCTTACAGTAAATCTTGCTGCTCTTTCAATCCCAGGAAGAATGATTTTACTGCAGAATCACAGTCCTTTGTCCTGAGTCACATGAGCTTATCATCCATAAATGTAAATTCCAATGTCCAAAATTAATAAAGAGCATAAAGAAGCCATCTGAAACTTTTATAAACACTGCAAGATGCTGGTCTATCTCTGAACAATCTAAACTTGATATTCAAGGAAAAAGCATGAAGATGAGGCCTTGGTAAAGATTTCTGCAGTACCGGGTATAAGTTTGCATTCCGCATATATGTCTCAACATCAGCAAACCTAAACTTACAGATGCAGGGATGAGAAATAATCAAGGAGAAACAGGCATTTCCCTTTCATTCTACGTGTTCATCCATGCCTTTATTTCACCATGAACTTGCCAGCTCTGGGAACATATCTCTATTTGCATAGGCCTAGTTTCTAGGATAGTCCTGAGAAGAACCAGTACTAGGCCCCTAGATGTTATTCCCTTAGCAAGAAGCCAAACACAAATTACGAATGAGCTCCTGAGTGCACTGCATTCTTCTTCAAAAAGCTGAAGCAGCAATTTTAACTTACCTGACTGCTGAAGAGACAGATCTTTTGTCAGCTATATGAGTGTCTGACTGAACAGCCCACAACGACCCTCTTTTGTTGAGTGGTGAGCGGTAGCTCTGTGGGGCAGCTGCATTCCCCTTGCTTATAGCTCCACTTGCCAAGTTCAGGTTTGTTAACTAAAGAGGGGGAAAAAAAAAAAAAAAAAAAGACATCAGAAACAATTAAAAGCCAAGAAAAGAGCAAAAGATGTCACTAAGTAAACTGGATAGCATATGTACCAAGAGAAGTAAGACTGCTAGAGAAGGGAAATCTTCAGATGCAGAAAAACTGTGCTTGTTGCATAAAGCAGTGGGAGAGATGACACCAACAGCCACCACGCTCGAGATGAATTCAAGTAGCAGCATTAAAATTACAATCCTTCCATTCACAGAAAAACAAAGGAGGAAAAGGACAAAGATGGGACAAAAATCCCAAAGTGAGAAACCAACATCACATTCCTGCCATGTGAAAAATTAACTCTACATGCACTAATCAAAAGCTAGAAGCTCATATTACACTAAGCAGAGACCAGAGTATCTGCCCAGTCATCATAATCTATGTCACTAAGCCAGCCATAGGCATCTGTCCTCTCTCTACCCCTCTCTGTGCATACATGCAGCCATAACCCAACAGCAGATGTACCTTGGATATAAAATTCAAAACCAAACTCTATCACACATGAAAGAAACTTCTCACCCAACCACTTCCAAATTGTTCACACAAGTAAATACACTAATTAATGATAGCCTAAAATCATGTTAGGTGTATGTTTGTTATATCAAGCTCTAAAGAAATTATCTATGTGTTTTTAATCATATAAAATGTATTCCATTGTTTCCTTCTTTGAGCATTCCTCTGTGTTGCTTACCTTCTTGAAAGATCAAACTCTGCAAGCAGACACCATCTGTTGGTTTATTTAAGAGAGCCTAAATACATAACATAATGGTATCTACTAGAGCAGTGTAAGTATAAGTTTACATTTGGAAAAAAAAAGTTTTATGACTGTTACAAAACACTACAAAAGGTTGCAAAGCTAAGATTCCCAGTCAGGCATTGCCAGAATTAAGTTTATGACTGCCTTGAATTACATAATGCCATGCTGCTTTTTAGGAGCACAGAATAGACCTGGTTCTGCACCAAGATTAAGGTCATATGGCAAGCAAGACTTATCTGTATTGCCCCTGCTCACTTCTGTGGCAACTGGAAGGCATACAGCCAATGAGACATAAGACACAGGCAGAAAGAAGAGTCTAACAACTAGCCCTGCATCCTTCCAGATCTCAAAGGTGATGCTTATTAAGTAACTTAAGTGTGACTTAACTTAAGCACAGCTTGTGAATTCCCAGCTTTGAGATCTTAATGCTCTTTTACCAGAATTTGTGCGCAATTACTCAAACAAGTACATACCAGCTTCATTTCAACACACTACACTCATACCTACAACAGACTTGTGCAGGACTGCAGACTTCGTATCCTCTGATTGAACTCTGGAACGTGAACTAACATTGCAACTGGCAACACAGTAGGTTGCCACTGTTTCTGTGGTTTAGTAGTACAAGGCATCTAAGCATTTTGTAAGTTCAAAAATCTTAACTCCTACTTCAAGTTCTGAACAGGATTAAATTATAGTGGTTACGCACTAGGCTTCTGCCCGCTTCTGCAAAAGCGACCACTTTCATCTCACCTCTTCTCAGCTCTATCCTTTCCTGTTCTTGCTCCCTGTCTGTGTGTCATTATTCTCACCTAGTCAGTACCAGTTTCCACATTTCAGGTGTCATTCTCTTTATTCTACTCAGTCCAGTTTCATTCTTACAGCCTTCCAGCACTGGCCTCCCCACTACTTCTGGCCCCTGAGCCACATCATTTCAGGCCTAGAACTTTCCACGGGAGTAGTTATTTGATCTGTCTTCCCACACTTTTGTTCTTAGTTCCTCTTGCAGTTGCTCACATGCCCTATATCCAAGTGGTTCTAGTTTTATTCCGCTCCTCAGCCCGCTCCTTTTGCCAACCTCTTTGTTCACCCAGTCCCAGAATGCGGGCTCCTCATTGGACCACATTTTCCACACTGCCATTCCTTCCATTTCTATCCTTTTGCCCGAATGGTTCTCAGCGCCCTCTCCAAAATTGTGTCCAAGTCCAAATTTCACAACCCCTTTGTCCTAGCTGTTCTCCACACCTTGGCAGAATTCCCACTCATTCTGCATTCAAGTCAAACAGGCTCCCAACCTAGCATGGAACAGGTCACTGAGAACACAGGAGAATGGGGTCTCAAGCCTCAGTAGAGGTGCAAATACAGAGAAATTCAGTTTAGCATCCTCAGTGTGGAGGGAACCTCCAGGAAGCTGGGAAGCTCTAGCAGGTGCTGCTGAGTATATTTCACCCAAAGCTTTTCAGATAGTTACTGTGCAATCAAGCTTGGACAAAATTTTAAATTCCAAATTGCTATTCCAAAGCATGGGAGATCCAGAGATTTAAAAGAAAAGTTCTGTAGATATTAAAATGCACAGAATGTTTTTCTTTATCCAGCCTTGGTTTTGGCTGGAATGCTTCACCTTGCCTGAAGCGTTCTGAAAACTGAACATTAAGCACAGAAAACATGAGTCCAAATGGATAAAGTTTCAGAACATTACAAGCAATTTAAAACAAGGGCTTACAGTGGGACATGTTGGACAAGCTTAGTAATAGGCAGTGCTACCCATCTTATATGGAAAACAGCATTAGATGTCATTTTGGTGCCTCTACCTCACCCCTAAATGTTGTTGTCTTCTGTAGAATTTAATTAAAAATTAAAGCATTTTCATTGCAATAACAGAAAACTTCAAATTAGGTTTAGTTCTGATTGTGCCAGGCACTATACAAATACCTAACAATGACAGTTTCTGGCCACAAAGAGTTTATTGTCTGAAAAGAAGCAAGAATGGCAAATGAGGCAAACACAAAGGCCAACATGGTAAATGAAATAGGATATATACAATTCTTAGCTTGTCAGCAACAGTCATCACAACTTTGCTAACACATCCAATGTGTGAAATGAAGATGACTTCATCCAATTCTCTCCCCTCATCATCTTGATACCAAGAACCATTTAGTTTGACGAATTACCACCTCACCCCTGCTCTATTAATGCAATATGCTTTCCTCTCTAATACTGTATCATTGTTTATTTGAAAGCTATCTTTCTAAGCAAAGCAGGTGAGCAAATAGCTTAGCATGGGTAGTAGGGACATTTCACACACATTCCAGATAGACAGGTGTTTAAACTACAGCAGGATTAAATACAGGCAAGGGATTCGGAATGAGGGAAAGAACACCAGCAAGAGTATAAGGTTTAGTTGCAGCCAGCCCACCCAGATGAGTGTTGCTGCTTGTTAATGTGCCATGCACTGAGACATTTCAGCTGCTATAATTAGCTTGCCAGGATGTTGCCTTGGAGGATTGCTAGGGCACCCCCAACATATCTGTGCTCAGCAGAGTGGCTTCATTTTCTAGTCACTAGTCTAGTGCACCTGATGAAACTGTATTCTTCCCTTTAGAGAGGCAAATACTTAGCAGCAAATCAATTGTTACTTTGGCTTAAAAGAAGACAAGGTATAAGACCTGGACCAAAAGAGATACCAAAATCTCCATAAAGAATAGCTTGCAGCTTCAGAAATTGTGGTAGTGTAAAACAAAACAAACAAAAAACCAAAACAAAACAAACAAACAACAAAACTACAACAAAAACCAAACAAACACCCCCCCCCCCCCCCCCCAAAAACCCCAAAAAACAAGAAAGGCAGGCTAGTGGGGCTCAACAGGGAAGGTGGTTATTGGTGTGGATCTACAAGAATAAAGCTAGTTTTCACATTGAGTTGTACCAAGATGGGTTCAAACTCTCCTGGTTGGTAAGATTCCTGTTTTTCACTAGCAGTGAGGGACTTCAGAATATTTTTTATGACACAGACAGTATGACAGGAGACCTGTGTGTGCTGCACTGCACGCTTCAAGCATCCCTATTTTCAAACATCTCTCTTCACATCAATACATTCTCTGTTGAGTCTGTAAAAGGCAAGATAATACACAGCTAATATCTCTCATGAGAGAGTGATTCATAAAGTTTTGCCACAATTTTTAAACTGTTGGGGACAGCAAAAAGGTCACAAGCTGAAAGGAACATGCTGAGTGAAGAACACAATGGGATAGTAAATCCCAAAAAGCTCTCATGGAAGGAGAGGAGCCCAACTTGATGTACTTCTATTTATTATCTAACATCAAGAAATAGGGGAGGGAAAAACTTGTGGGTTGTCACAGCCATATCGATAGATAGAGCCTTGTGTTAGAAAACCTAACAGCACATATATGTACTGTTATACTTAGTTCAATACAATGCTAATAAGCCAAAAGACAAATTATTGCATAATGCCAAAGTACTCTCTTTTTCTTTTTTCTTTTTTTTTTTTTTTTTTAATTTTTAATTGTTACAAGGTAAGTTTATGACTGCAGTAACACTTGCCTTCTTGACAGCAGAGACACATAAGCTTAAAAGAATTGGTCTCTATGGTCTTGCTTTATTCAGAGAAATTTATTTCTGAATAAATTCAAGATTGAAAGCAAGGCCACAACACAGAATGATACCTGTGCTGGATGAAAGTGCTGGATATAAGAGTTGAGGATTTTGGTTTTGTTAATCTGCTTTATAATTTAAATAGGAAATATGAAATCTCCAAATACAGATAGGAAGAAAGAAAATTCCAGGACAAAATTTGTTTCTAATGAATAGAATCTTACAGACAAAGACCCATTGTATTGTACGTTTAAGAAATCACAAGCAAGAGTCAGAAGAGGAGCTTAATATCTTTCACGTTTCTGAACTACATTATACTATTCTTTCAACAGTTTCCCATTATCATATTCAAGAACGTTTTTCTATAAAAAAGTGAGTATTTTCATTTTGATCTTGTCTAGCTTCAAATAAGCTAAAGCAGCAAATGTTAACAATGGCCAAAAATTTAAAAAAAAAAAACAAACCAAAAAACAGTGCTGCAGATCAGCCTCCACGGATTCAGGAAAAGCCTCCTAAAAGCCTGAGTGTTTCTCTTACTAGTTTGCAGGAGTCAACCAAGGTGAACAGGGACACACCACCACTAGAAGCTGTTAC